TGTGTGTGTGTGTGTGTGTGTGTGTGTGTGTGTGTGTGTAGAAGGAAGGTTAAAAAAATGAAACAGCAAAAGCTGTCTGTGAAGTATAGAATCATCCGATTGCCCATTCTTTCCCCTCAGATGTTCCAGGATCTAAAACTTTCTCCCTCACAACTGCAGCAGACAAATTATGGAAATGTTGAGAGAGAGGAGAAAGGGCCCAAGTCTTGGGGAAAGTAGTGAAAGAGGTAACAAAAAGAGGGAGGCTAGGACCTGTTGGTCATGACTACCTTGGGTCAGAACAACTTTTATATAGTTCATGATGCATAGCTAAAATGCAGAGATGAACCTTGCTTAAAGATGAGACAGCAGGACGAGGGGTACAGGGCCTGACTCTGACTTACCACCCCTGCTTCTAGTCAGCTCTGATCTTTCTGCTCTCTACAGTGGGAGGCTCAGGCCTGGAACATACATATAAGGGAGGGAGTGTCTTCACACAGGTGACGCTCAGAAGGAACAGGGCCCTGTCCATTAAAAAGCAGCACCTGAGAGGTTACTCAGAACAGCCATTCTCTTCTTTCCCTGTGGAGAACTGCAGGGTTCTCATGGTTGGGATGAAGTCAAAGACTCAAGTTTGCATGCACACACAGAAAAGTTAAAATGAAGTAAAAAATAGAATATAGCTGCCATTTGTGGACCCAGGTCAATACATTTTATGATGTGTGGCCAAGCTAAGAAAATATGTCAGGCACTGTTGTAATTTTAATGCTCTAGAGGATGAGAGCACAGGACCAGTGTGGGTAACCTACATACTGAGTTCACAGCCAGCTTGGGGTACATAGTGGTCTTCTGTCTCAAAACAACAACAACGACAGAAAAAAAAAAAATCCAGGAGTGGTACCTCATACTCATGATGCCAGATCTTGGGAGGTCAATGTGGGAGGATGAAGAGTTCAGGGTCATCCTTGGCTTCACAGTGAGGGCAAGGCCAGCCTGGCTTGTATCAAACCCTCTCTCAATACAGGATGAAACCACAATAGAATGTAAATGATTATCAATTACGTCCCGTGTTAGATGTGCCATCTTGTTTTGCACATACCTCTAGGTGTCTATATTCTGTCTTTCCTTCTGAAGATTTTAGTGCTGTAGATTTTTTTTTTTAGATATTTCCAAATTTAAACGTTTACAAGTCACTTATTTCTCATCTACGCGCCAGACCCAAGTCAGCCACTACCTCCGCGGTGTCTTCATTTGCTTACTTTGCCTCTCCACTTTAACATGTTTAAAAATGTCTTGCCTGAATCAACTGGCTTAGTTCTGTACCTTCTATGTCGGGCTGACTGTAACAATGACATACCTAATTACTCCCACCAAGCCCTGGCCTCCCGTTCCTTGCTTATTTTTCACAGACGACCGGTTTCTGATGTTCCACCTCCTAAGGTCATCCCTTCCCAGAATCTCTCCCTACTCTACTCACCCAAGTTCCTTACCTTAGTCCAATTTACCGTCATCTTTTCTTCAGAATGCCACTCATTTCCTAGTATTTTCATTTCTTCCTTTGTCCCTGTGGTGATTTAAATGAGGAAAAGTCCCGATAGGCTCGTGTGTTTGAGTTTTTTGCTCCTCAGCTGACAGCACTGTTTGGGAAGGATTAGGAGGTGTGACCTTGTTGAAGAAGGCGTATCACTGGGAATGGTCTTTGAGGAGTCAAAAGTCCACATCGGACTCCCTCCCCCTTCTTGAAGACCAGATGTAAACTCTCAGCTAAATCATGAACTTGTTCTCTGAAACCATAAGCAAGCCCCTCATTAAATGCCTTCTTTTACAAGCTGTCTTGGTCATGAGGTTTCATCACCACGTAATAGAACAGTAACTGAGGCAGTTCCTGGAGTTCTTTCTCATTTCATCCTTTGTGTAAATAACATCTCTTCCACATAGGAACCACCATCAGCTTCACAAAACCTAAACACCTCGCTCTGCAAGACCATATCCCTTGTTTCTCTATCAACCTCATTTACTCTTCTCTTTGCATGAGCTTTATGAGTCTTCATTGCCCACAGCCTGACTACTCTTGTACTTGTCTGCCCAGCATGTTCTCTCCCTGATGATTAACATGGCAGATTCAGGATCCATTCTCTACTTCAGAAAGAGAGAGATGAATACTTATGCTCAGCTTGCGTGTGTGTGTGTGTGTGTGACATTAAACAATTGGATAGTGCTTCTGACATCCCAGGCAGCTCTTCTCTCCTCAGTCAAGTTCTGCAAATGTCCTCTCACAGGCATGGCCAGAAGTCTGTCTCATCCGCGATTGAATCCAGTTAAATTGATGGTTAAAATTAACCATAATGGCATCTTTCTCCACCAACCACCCTCCCTAAAGTGCTAGCCTCTCTGTTCACCCCTGAAATAACATCCCATTTATTCTCTTTACTATGCACAGTGGGCAAACGTCTTCTTTATTGTGTGCTGGTAAGAATTCTTGCCTAGAATGGAACGTATTTTTTGTTTACTGTTTAACGCCTGACAAGTATGCTGGCCCCCAGTGGTTGCTCAATCAGTGGCTAGTTAAATAAATGACTGACCTTGGCAGTCGTTGCAGATGTCTGATTTTAGATTCAACAAACAAATGGTCTGTGCTGAAGTGAAATTAGAGTGCGGGAAAGGGTGGAGGAATGATCAAATCGCAATCACCTGTCACTGGAAGTAGCCACACAGTGTCTGCGGAGGGAGGTGAGCCTCGTGCCTTCCTTCTTCAGGGAGATGACACTTCTGAAGGTGTGATTCTTTAAAATCCATCCTTAGCATATACTTAGGAGGAGCTATCTAGGCACAGGGAATGAGTCTGTTTCACAAAAGAACTAAAAACAGAAGTCTGATTCATGAATTTGCTAATGGCTTCTGCCTCTCAAGGGAGCCTCCCAGTGCGCAATGAAACCTTCCTAGGGGCTTAGGTTTACACCTGATGTGAAGGTGACCGCAAATCAGAGTTCTGCCTGTAGGAACAGTTTCATAGGAGCATTCAAATGGGTAACTGCCGTCATGTCAGGCCCTGATGCACCTTCTAGAAGAATTCAACTTCATCACATACTTTGGTTTCCATGTTACTGATCTCATCAACAACCAACGGAGGGAAAGCGGCCATGAGGACAAGGAGCATGCAAATGGGTATTTCATGGTAAAATTTGAAAGCAAACCCACAGAATCATGGGCAAGTCAACTTACAACCCAGGAAATAATTGCGGAGCTCAGGACACTGGTGAGAGTGTATTTCCCATACTGCATCTGCTGTTCCTTTACTCTACTCCCCCCGCACCTGCTTTGAATGGAGTAACTTTTGTGTAAAATCTAAATTGCTTAATTACATAGCCTATAAATGGAAAAACTATCGACTGGGTTAATGCAGTATACTTGCTCTCTTTCACCCTTCACCGAGCTGTGCGAGGGGAGGGGAAGGAGTGAAGGCCAGGTGAAACAAAAGGAAAGGAGAGGTTGCTGTCCAGCAGACCTGGGGAGGGACCCTATAGAGCACGGTTGCAATGACCATTGACGTCAGCATCTCTTATCCTCTCTCCACTTGATTTCCTCCTTCCAGGCCCAGGAGCTCTGGTTTCCTCCTCTGCCTTAGCGCTCTGGGAGCTCCTGCTGTGAAAACCGCTGTGGTTTAAAAACAGTCTGTGTGTATCCAATGGCTAAGAACCCACACGTGCACACCGTGGCTTGAGAGAGTCTCTACGTGCCTTTCCCATCCTTAACCCACTGAAGCTCTTCCTTATAAACAAGTGGCTGCACAGAAACACCGGCCATTGCCAGTCAATCCGCTGTGGTCACAGGAAAGTCAAGGACAAGCTACCTGGTCGTGGTAATCCAAAACAGTAAGATGCACTCTTCCGCATCTTCATCCGGGTGATGTAGGGAGGAAGCACTCTAAAGCCTTTGGCAGAATGGAAGGGAAACCTTTCTGACCTTCTAAAAGAAGCGGTGTAAGAGGCGTGGATTCCCTCACAACCCATTTTGCCCATCCAAATCCTACCAAATGAGCCTCCATGGCCTAGGAGGAGAAGCCATCTTTCTGGTGAAGCACCTAAAATGTGTCTATTCTATGCCCGTTGAACACAGCTGCATTTTTAAATTGACACTTTGATGTACTCCCTTTCCATTTACCTTTTCCTTCCCTTTCTTGACTTAAATAAGTATAAATTAGAGAATCTCCACCCCGCCCCCTCAGGGAGGCTTGGAGCAAAGATTCCTGGCTAGGATTCCCTGTATATCATGTTTGTCTCTTTGATACCATGAAGTTCTGGTTCTTTTTCATGGAGCTGGTGGTGGATGCTCCCAGGACTCCATGAAAGGAAGGGCTTTCCCTCCTGGAAAGCCATCACTGTGCCTGGAAGGAGAGCTGCAGCCCCGCCTTTCCAGGTTGCAAAAGTGAGAGTCTACAGGGGAATTAACATTGGGACATAGCCTAAATGGAAAGCTCTCAAGACATTTAAAAATACTTCATTTTTCTCCTCCCAGTAGAGGTTGAAACTGGCGAATGTGTCTTTGTGGATATAGAAACATGGATTCCGCCCCTCCCCCCAACTCCCAGTAAACAGCTCTTGAGGGGAGTCAGGTGCTGTGTATAGCTTATTGGGGAGGGGTGTCTCGGGGGCCAGGTTGCGATTTCTTTTTGATGAAACAGAGCCAAGGGAGAAGAGATGATTGTGGAGGATGGAGGGGGGGGTGTTATTAGGATACTGCGGCTCGGTTGAGGTGGGGGCGGGGGCGTGCGTGTGAATGTGAAAAAGCAAGAGGCGTGCCAGGAGAGCGCGGGAAAGATTCCTGGGGAGGCAAGCCTACAGTATCTTTCCCTAGCATCCAGGCTTGCTGCAGCCCCTGGCTGGGTAAGGGGTGTGATGTGAGAGTGGGGTGGGAGGGGGCAGCAGGCGGGGCTTGCCACGTCACTTGGAGAGTGTGTTAGGGAGGAAGGGCAGAGCCGAGAGCTGAGCCTGCTGCTGCTGCTGCTGCTGTTGCTGCTGCTGCTGTTGCTGCTGCTGCTGCTGCTGCTGCGGGTGCAGGCAAGGCTTGAAGCGACGGGGAGGTGGGTCTCCGCGCTCAGGCGCCGGGGCAGCCCCAGGGCGGTTCCTAAGCCTGTGGAACAGCTCCTGTGGAGAAGGTGGAGGCTAGAATTGCGACCTTGGCCAGACCTAGTTCGGTGGTGGACGTAGGGCGGAGGCAGAGGCCGAGCCCGGGCAGGAGTGTTTGGCGAGCCAGAGGGAGGCGCATCTGGCGCTTCAGTGCTAGCCGCAGCCCGGGGTCTTGTGCGGCTGGAGAAGCTCAGCGGGACCTGGAGAGAGCCAGCAGGTTTGGAGGGCGGCCCCGTGGGTCCTGCAGCCCGGTTTTAGGCACCATCGGGAGCTAAGCCGCGCGTCTTTTCGGGCAACCAGTTTTCACGCGCGCGACAGTTTGCGGGTTCCGGGCAGCCCAGAAACCTTGAGCACGGAGGCGCGGCTACTGGGAGCTAGAGCCACCTCCCAGACCTAGCCTGGCAGAGGGACCAGCCGCGGGGTCCATCGACCTAACCGCCAGGTCAGAGCACGGGCCCCACCCTAAAGGAGGGCGCAGCCGGAGCTGGGAGGTCGGTGCCAGGGCTCCGGAGCTCGCGTCGTGGGCGCCGTCCTAGTGGCGGGGAGCGCACCGCCAAGGGGACATGAGATCGGAGAAATCCCTGACGCTGGCGGCGCCGGGGGAGGTCCGCGGGCCGGAGGGGGAGCAACAGGATGCGGGTGAGTTCCCGGAGGCCGCGGGCGGCGGCGGCTGCTGTAGTAGCGAGCGCCTGGTGATCAACATCTCCGGGCTGCGCTTCGAGACGCAGCTGCGCACCCTGTCGCTGTTCCCCGACACGCTGCTCGGAGACCCCGGCCGCAGAGTCCGCTTCTTTGACCCTCTGAGGAACGAGTACTTCTTTGACCGCAACCGACCCAGCTTCGATGCCATCCTCTACTATTATCAATCCGGAGGGCGCCTGCGCAGGCCGGTCAATGTGCCCCTGGACATCTTCATGGAAGAGATTCGCTTCTATCAGTTGGGAGATGAAGCCCTGGCGGCCTTCCGGGAGGACGAGGGCTGCCTGCCCGAAGGTGGCGAGGATGAGAAGCCACTCCCCTCCCAGCCTTTCCAGCGCCAGGTGTGGCTCCTCTTTGAGTACCCGGAGAGTTCCGGACCCGCCCGAGGCATCGCCATAGTCTCAGTGTTGGTCATCCTCATCTCCATCGTCATATTTTGCCTGGAGACCTTGCCTCAGTTCCGAGCAGATGGCCGCGGTGGAGGCAACGAGGGTAGTGGGACCCGTATGTCCCCAGCCTCCAGGGGGAGCCACGAGGAAGAGGAGGAGGAGGAGGATTCCTATGCATTTCCTGGTGGCATTTCCCCTGGGGGGATGGGGACCGCAGGAACATCCTCATTCAGTACTCTAGGGGGTTCCTTCTTCACGGACCCCTTCTTCCTGGTGGAAACTCTGTGTATTGTCTGGTTCACTTTTGAGCTCCTGGTGCGCTTCTCTGCCTGCCCCAGCAAGGCGGCCTTCTTTCGCAACATCATGAACATCATTGACCTGGTGGCCATCTTCCCCTATTTCATCACCCTGGGCACCGAGCTCGTGCAACGTCAGGAGTCCGTGAGTGGTGGCAGTGGCCAGAATGGGCAGCAGGCCATGTCCCTCGCCATCCTCAGGGTGATCCGACTGGTCCGGGTGTTTCGAATCTTCAAGCTCTCCCGCCACTCCAAGGGGCTGCAGATCCTGGGTAAGACCTTGCAGGCGTCCATGCGAGAGCTGGGGCTGCTCATCTTCTTCCTCTTCATCGGAGTCATCCTCTTCTCCAGCGCCGTCTACTTCGCAGAGGCGGATGATGATGACTCGCTCTTCCCCAGCATCCCAGATGCCTTCTGGTGGGCTGTGGTTACAATGACCACGGTAGGTTATGGGGATATGTACCCCATGACGGTGGGGGGCAAGATCGTGGGCTCACTGTGTGCCATTGCTGGGGTCCTCACCATTGCGTTACCAGTACCGGTCATTGTCTCCAATTTCAACTACTTCTACCACCGAGAGACGGAGCAAGAGGAGCAAGGCCAGTACACTCACGTCACTTGTGGACAGCCTACACCAGACCTGAAGGCCACGGACAATGGGCTTGGCAAACCTGACTTTTCCGAGGCATCGCGAGAGCGGCGACCTAGCTACCTTCCCACTCCACATCGAGCGTATGCAGAGAAAAGGATGCTTACCGAGGTTTGATGGATGCGGGCAGGGCCTTGTAGAAAAACGGGAGCCCTGAGCAAGCCACCTCTCAGGCTTCCTTCTCATGCTCACTACTCCGCCTTAGCTCCAGAGGACCTCCACCCCCTCCCTCGTACCCAGTACACGGCATCCTGGACCAAATATCTGGACTGTAGACTGTTGCTTGATCCTCGCAGCATTCGAGGTTTCTCCATCTTAGTGACATTTTGCAAATTTCAACGGTGCCACCCAGTCATGCCCATCTGTCACGTGGATGAGACACACATTTCTGACTGACCTTCCCTCAAGACTGAAATTTCATGCCTGGGTCTCGTAACATCTCTAGGAATGGTGACGTCAATAGAATAGGAAACAGCTACACTCAGGTCCCTTTGCTTTGGGTCATGCACCTTCCTTGGCATCTGATCACTTGGTCACTGGCAGAATCTGGAGAATGGAAAGGAATTCAGCTTGCTGCTTTAGTGCCCTGTCCATCTTCTGGCCAGGAGAGCTGTTAGCTACACAGCTTTGAAAGAGATTCATGGCTAAATTTGGATGGAATTAGAGAAAATACTACCCAACTGGATTATTTGAAGAACGTGAGAGTCAGGTCCAGACCAAAGGGGCCAGTTGATTCCTTTAGGTGTGATCTGGCACAGGAGCCACTGGCTGTGGTTCTCCCCACTCTGATTCCCCAGTGGCTCCCTTAAGCTTCCAGGAAAGCACCTTCTCAGATTTCTCTTTTTGTGCAAGCGCCTTCATGTGCAGAGGAAAATGGAACCATGGAGCAAGGAGAAAAGGCTTGCCAGAGCCAAGTGACTGGCTGGACCACATATCTGAAGCTAGGTACCACTTAGCAGTGACTGTCAACTAGGGCAGGCAGAGGGACTCTGCTGCAGACAGCAGCCAAGTCTCCCTAGTTAGCCCAGACCTCTTCTCTAAGGCATCCTCCATCCTTCTCCCTGGGAATCTGACCCAGGAGTGCAGAGGAATTTTGATAAATCGACCTCAGCTGTAACCTGCAGACAGGTTAGTTCACACACAGAATGCCAGCGTAGCTTTCCTCCCATGCCACGGGCAATATTTAGTTTGGAGCAGGGAACGGGCATGGTCATTTTGTTGACAGCCCGTCTCTTAAAGGGTTTTGCTGTGTCAAGCAAACATTTGTCTGTTCTGCTCTTCCTTTGGATCTGCATCTGGCCTGCTCTAATTGCTAAGGTAACTCGATGGTTCCCATTTGGACAAAGCCATCTTCTCCCATTGTGAAACCACTGCCACCCTTCCCAGCTGCCCACTGCCCTCTTCCCCAGTAACATTGCCATTCAGTTTTGCCTTTGATAAACTGTGATATACTGTTTTCAGCTCTCATGGGTGCGGTTCTGAAACTTAAGGGACTGTTACCATGTTTTTTTTAAATTTTATATCAATGCTTTAAGACTCTTCAAAGAGAATGCTTTTCCAAAAGATTTTCTTGAAGAGCAGCTTATAAGGGACTGACCTTGGGGGTTGGCTTGACAGACACCATGGCTCCAGTGACAGGTCACAATCTGGGTTTTTTGCCATGGCTTTACAGAGTAGCTTTGGTGTCATAGTCCCTCTTTGTGCCTCAGTTTCCCCACCCATTAAATGAGAATATTAATGTCTTCCCCTCCCTACCTCATGGGGAATATCAATAACTCACCCAGGAAGGTGTGGAAGATGCTATGCAAATGTGTGAATTATAGTCATGGTTTTGAGTTTTAGTTCATTATCCTGCTTTCCTGTCTCCCAAAGGCAAAGCCTTTCCCCAGAAGTTTCCACCTTGGATCCAAAGCCTAAGACTAGGCCATTGTAGACCATCAGCTTTCTAAGTCTCTCTATGACCCCTTGGGCTCAGCCTCCATCCTTTCTCTTACCCTTCAGAATGGGATGTATTCTTGAGGTGGACTTGGTGACCAGAGGTCACCTTTCCTGGGAGCTTGACTTATCCAAGCCTGCAGCACAGTAAAAGACAGAGATGTCTTTTCCTATTCCAGACACCTATTCCAAGGCCAGTAAGAAAGTACCTTTTGTTTCTAACCTTTTCTGTTACTCCTGAGCCCACCCCAGTGGCCAAAGGGATGCCCCCAGCTGAGGGTGAATGTGGGAACTTGTGAGCATGTACCTCTCTGTGTGTGTATATATATCATCACCTTCATCACTGTCCTTGTCCTTATGCAAACATTGCCTTTTCAAGTCAGAGCATGCCTGAGAGTAAAAGGTTTGTGGAAAGCCAGGCTTTCTAGGGACTCTGGTTGCTGTAGCAACCTTCCAGACTATTCTCTCTACTGATTTGAGTATCAAAGGAGAAGAGACTACTTATCCCAGCTTCTTAAATGGGAACACCTCCCATCTATTGGTTTAGGCGTTGGTAAGACAAGGACTCAGGACATTTGAAATGTGGAGGAAGTAGAGTCTCAACACCTCCTGCCTGTACCTTTTCCCTAGTTCTCTATCTGATCTCTGAAGCTTACCCCAAGTCTTCAGAAACTTGAATTCGTGAAAACTGCCCAATTAAGCCAACAGCAATGTTGAGGTTTTTCAAAAGGAGACCCCAGAGGGGTACAGAATGCCACCCCCCCCCCAGCAGCCAGACTGGGCCATGAGGACATAGATGATACCAGTCTGAGGCATCATGGCATTCTCATCTCAGATGCAGGCTCTTCCCAGCCCTAAGAGAGAGCAAGAAGAATGGAATTTCTCCCTCCCAGGGAGCAGCATTGCTCCTGGCAAGAACTGCAAAGGTGGTTCTTCAGACATCAGCCAGAAACTGAGAGGTGGTGACTCAATCTAGTTTTTGCGGAGAATTTTGCCCCAGTGACCCCTCCCTGCTTCCGAGCCTCCATGTGGAGACCGTAACCTCGGAATCAAGAGAACGTGTACTGTGTGCTGCTTCGGCAGCTGGAATAGCATCACAGCTGCCCAAGAAGGTGGGGTCTGAGCCATCCTAACAACTGACGTAAGCCACTGGGGGCTCCCAGAGGACTCCCTGGGACTGCCAGTTTCTGCTTGGGATGAGGACTCTCCTCCTGCCTGACATCCCAGAGGAGCAAGGGACAGCTGGCCTTCCTTGCGTCGGAGGTAGGTCCCCAGCAGAGGTATTTTATCTTGACAGGGTTGGGAAGGGGAAGGCTCAATGTCTGGGGAAGCACTGTTCATCTTTCCTGCAGTGTGATTCTGTCTGCCTTCATCTGTTGCTGACCCCTCCTTTCTTTCTCACTTTACCCCAGATTTTTCCCCAACTCTTCTTCTCTGCAGTCTTTTCCTTTCTGCTTCATATTTTTGTTTTTTCTCCCCTGATTATCCCTCCACCTCATTTAAACTCCATCTTCCTTCCAAAAGAGATCTCTCTACCTCCCTGTCTTCACCTCCCCCCCCCTCTTTTTGGCTTTTGGGAACCTCTTCAGCATTACTGTGGGGACCATACCTTGGACTACAGCTGTGACCCAGGATCATACTAAGAAGGTCCTCTGTTTCCCTGGCACCTCACGGTACCATATTTCCCTTGCAGACTTTCCGTTCCTGGAGGGGCCACACTTAGACAATAAGATGAGATTCTATTTGGTTAGTAAAATGTCTTCTGGAAATTTCTTGAGCACAAAATTTCTAGGATAAAAGAAGCAAGGTGGCAGGAGGAAAGAATGTGGCAAGAGACAGAAATACAGATAGAAATATATATATGTTTCAGATACTCAGTCATTTAGCATTGGAGTGTGTTCATATCAGGGTTCTCCAACCTCAGAAGCTTTGCAGAGAGACTGAAATCACAGCAACTGTAAAAATGGTAAGACAGAGAAAATCGGACGAGCCTTCACTCAAGGCAGATCTGATAACCCCTCTGCACTCGCATGAAGGCTTGCTCAGTCTCGAGTGCTCAGGAAGAAAAGGCACCATTCCCAGCAGGGCAGAGCACAGGACACTTCTTGATGTGAAAGACAGAGATTCACTGGCTAGTCCACAAGCAAAGGTGGACTGGTCCTGCCCTGGGGCCTAGGGGGAAGCCCTGTCTACATCAAGACATCTTGGTGGCCATGAGTACACACAGGGATCAGCCCCGGCTGTTAAACTCGTACCAGAGAACTTTTGAGGGTGACACAACTATTCTAAAACAGATGTGTTGCTAGTCATATGACTTGGGTGAAGGAGACATGAGTCTGGTACCCCAGGTCTTCTCATGACCTGGGACAAAGGTCTGGTTTTATTAATTGGAAGGATGGATCAGAGTGACAGTTCTTTCTCCTGCCACATAGCCACGCTTCAGTGTTATCCTGTAGCTGCTCTTTGCAGCTGTCACAAAATACCAAGAAGTGGTGTCTCTGTGTGTGTGTCTGTGGGTCCATGTGTCCGGTGTGTGTGTGTGTGTGTGTGTGTTTATGTTATATGACTGGCATGTGTGGTGTGTGTATAGTGGGTATGTGATGTGTGTGTGTTGTGTGTATTGTGTGTGGTATGTGTGTGTTGTGTGTGTGTGTGGTGTCTATGAGGGCTCTGTCGGTTATATGTGTGTGTGTGTCTGTGGTGTGAGGGTGGGGATGTGCATTTAGTATGTGGTATGTGTGTATGTGTTGTGTGTGGTATGTGGCATGCATAGTGTGTGTTGTCTTTGTGAGGTGCATGGGTAGTGTTTGTGGTGTGTCTGTATGTGTTGTGTGTGTTGTGTGGGGGTCTCTGTGTGCTGTGTGTAGTCTCTGTGAGGTGTGCGTGTCGTGTGTGTAGCACGTGTATAGAATGTGTGTGTGAGGAGGTCTCTGGGGGGATGTCTGTGTGTCTCTGGCATGTTCGTATGGATGTGTGTGGGTGTGTGGTGTGGGGGGATGTGAGAGTGTGTAGCCTCTCTCGGTGTGTGTGTAATGTGTGTGGTGTGTGGTGTGTGTACATGTGTATACAGTCTCTGTGGTGTGTGTGTGTGTATGTGTGTGGTGTGTGGGTGTCTGGGGAGTATGCATGTGGAGGAGGGAGGGGGTGGTGTGTGTGTGTGTGTGTGTGTGTGTTATATATGTGTGTGCGGTGTAGGGGGGTTGTGTGGTAGTTTGTGGATGTGT